AACTAGTGATGACCAGATCCCGGCCAAGACCCTCTAAATTAGGCTGGAAGTGAAACCTAGTCGTGAATCACCTAGAAAACAATTTCTGTAAAATAATAAAAGCAAAGAAAAAAAATATTCCTTACTTGTATTTATTAAAATCATCTTGCAAAAATATTCGGAAAATATATTTCTCAAATATATTGATTCAAAATACATAAATCATGTGATATCATTGTAATCAGAAACATTTATAGTATTCATTCAATAAAAGCTATTGAAAACCTAATTTATTAGACACGCATGCAAATAAATATTTATTTTTTAAACATAAAAGGCTAATTTAGCTTGAAGTGTATTCAGTTTATATTTACGAGATAAGATAAATCTAGTAAAAGACTGAAGGTTTATGTTCTTATCAAGGACATAAACCAATATGTAAAAATTAAATATGTTTTGGATAAAACAATTAATTCTACGTTAAAGGCAAAAACATTTCTTTAGAATGGTCACTGATAAGTATGTATTATGTTTTTCTGAAGTTATTTTTAACATTCTTAAGTATAACTTATCAGTAAAACTATGCGTTAATCTCTACTTAAATCGGCGATAAAAATTTTTGGTTTGGTTCATGGTGATTATGAAAACCCGCTCGAGGGCTATCTGTCTAAAGAGAATGAAGCTGACGTTCTAAAAGACATTTCGGTTTTGTTTATTAGCACTTGAGGGATATCTGCCTAAACGGAGGGATGCCTTCGTGGAGGTCTTTCTAAGGAAAACTAACTCGTATACGGATTATACATGGGAAAATCCACGAAAGTTCCCATGCAGCCAATCCGTTCGTCAAAATTCACCAACTACCTGTAGTCAGGAGCTCTACCGCTCGGGCACCGGAAGGCCTGAGATAAATTGCTTATGTTTTTACTTCCTTGTACGAAGTAAAAAGGAAGTATTGTAATCGCGAAAAGTTTCAGGCAGCATATTTCAACGAAAATATCCATTTTGACCGCTATCGAATGCAATTTAACGATGTTTTTGCGTGATATCTGTACGTAAGGACACAATAAAATACTTTTTTCCTTCAAAAAAATTATAAAACTGCTTTAAAATTAATTCTGAAGAGAATGTTTCGGGGCGTCTGTACGAACGTATGTACGTGCGTGCGTGCGTACGTATCTCGCATAACGCAAAAACGAGTAGCTCAGAACGTTGAAATTTTGTATATAGGACTGCTATAACATGTAGATGTGCACTCGTATTTTGGTTGGCAATCGGCCGCACCAAACGTATATAAATATATTTATATATATATCCACTCTGTTACCCGGCTTATTGATCTCAGTTTCTTTACTCTTATATGTTTGTAAATTGTACATTTTTTGCTTTAAAATGATTGAATTATGTTGTTTTTATTTTGTTAAGGATTTTATGCCTTTAGTAAATCTGTGTGCAATATTTTAGAATTATCAGCAATTTTTAAAGTTGTTTAATTGCCGCTAAGCCTGTTTTTAATGGCGGCCATTGATGTTTACATTTGAAACAGGAGACTAGTGGATTTGTTGCCAATCTAGAGAAACTTAGCTTCGCAACACAAAGATAACGGATTCATTTATTATTGCCAATTAAATCATGCTTAATTCTTTCTGGAATTTTTTCCAAGAAATAAGTGTTGAGATTTACTTCGTAATTTTAATACAGATATTTTGAGGATTTTATGTATTTTTGCCTTCTCGCGAAGTGAGAACTGAATTAATTAAATGAGAAATACTCAATCGTCTGTGAAAAACTGTTTCTTTCTTTTTTATTTGTTTAATTTTTTTCTATAAATCTTCATTTAGATTTCTTATAGTAATTTGAATAGAAGTGGCAACGATTAGATAATTCTATTCTTTAATTAATGCATTATGAGTTATACTTGTGCATTATGAGTTATCATATGAACGAAATATATACGTTAACTGTTATATAATTATTGGATTACATAACAGTTAACTTAGTTTCCGTTATACAATTATTATATAAGTTAACTGTTATATAATTGTTAATGTGAATAACTGTTAAGTGAATCTAGCGCCAGTGTGTCGCTATGGTTATCAAATACTAGAGTGAATTTTAAAGAATGCATTTATTCTATTGTGGTTTATGCGCTCTCGGCGAAGTTGATTTAATTCAATCCAATAAGTTTAAATGAAATGCAAGAAAAAATGCGTATAATTTAATATTCCAGTTTAATATTCCAATACAAGGAAGTCATGTGGTGTACACATCAGATTTTTTTTGAATAAATATATTCTAAATGTGTTAATATTTCACTAAATATCCATAAAAAATTGAATGGTCTTAAATTTAGAAACATTCGTGCAATTAGACACTTTTTAAATAGTTCACCATAGTTTGTTGTGATATTTAAAGACGGCTTTTAAAACTCTCATTGTTTAGATTTAATAGTGTCATTTTCAGGTCCTCATTCAACTTATTCTATGCTAAATAGCCTGTAAAATGCTGAAAGTGGCTACTCTCTACAGCTCAGAGATTTTGAAATATTGAATACGGACATAATATGCTATCTTATTTCCTGGTTAAGATAGTTTTTACTGATTCTCTCGTATATTCTAGCATTCCGGCCCAGGATCATGTCGGAATATTTTAATCCCGGGATTCTCCACTTTAGGTTCAGGGGGATGATCTTAGCCTTTTATTTAGCTGTTAAGTACTTACTTTTAATTTATGAAGATCCTTTCCTTCAAGCTCTCATATTTATGAACGTTGTAGAGACAATAGGAATTTTTTGGGAAGCAGGCAAGATGAAAATATGCAAAGCCTTCGCCGGGAATCGAACGCGGACCTCTGGAATACACGTCCAGCGTGCAGACCACCATGCTACGAAGGCGGGACAAATACCTTATAACGTTACCTACACTTTTTGTTATTTAATTTATGAAACAAATGATTTAAATTTAGAAACTTTAGGAAGAGAGGGAAAGGAGGAATGATCTTCTAGCAATGCTAAAAATGAATATATATTGAAGCTTATTCTAGGTATTCCATATAACGCAAACTTAGTGGTAATGTAATGGGACAGATCATCCGGATCTGAGAATATCAGTATAAGTGCAATCAATATAATATGGATATTTATAATTTTAAATACACTCATGTCCATAAATTAAGGATAATGCAAAATCAGCCAAAGGAAGAGTTAGAAGCAAAACAAATTTGACTTATTTGTAAAGCTTATTTATTAAACAAAAGGTAAAGAGCCAAAAAATATGCTATATGTTTGATATTATTAAAAAAATTAGCGATTTTTTCTCCCTGGAGAAATTACAAAAAACACCTATTTACAAAAAACCAATATTACATGGTTAGTATGAATGTTAATACATTATATGTCTCCCAGACGATGCAATACAGTCCGTACAATGCCTAGGCATGCTAATATTGGATAATTGGAGGATATTACACCACTCAAAAAGGAATGCTCTCGGAAGTTCCGGTAGACATGTAGGAGGAGGTTGACGGGCTGCAACTCGTCGGCCAAGCATGTCCCACACATGCTCTACTGGATTCAGGTTCCTAGACAATGCTGGCCAGTCCACACGTGTGATATCCTCCGATTGAAGGCATTCGCTTACGATGTTTGCACGGTGAGGACGGGCGTTGTCATCCATAAAGACAAGTTGTGCGCCCATGGCGCCCTAAACAAACGCACATTTGTTTCCAAATGACGTCCCAATAGATCTGGCTTGTCATGGTTCCAATTTGACATGCAGGTCAGTTCTGGAAACCCCGATAATTCCACCCCAAACGAGCACTCCTGCACACCGTAAAGGGTCGTTCATGATGTTTCTTGGTGGTAACGGGTACCTGGAGCTCTTCATATGAAAGTCCGGCGAGAAAAAGACTGCAAGCTAAACCTGGACTCGTCGGAAACATCACACAAGCCCACTGTTGCGGTGTCCACAATGCATGCTCTCTACTCCAGGCTAACCGCAGGCGACAGTGAGTTGCAGTAAGTGGAACGCATCTGACGGTCTACGAGCAATAGACCAATCTGCTCTAAGCGTCTGTACACGGTCTGCCTTGAAATTGTCGTACAGTGGCTGAAGAGAGCTGACGAGACAGGTCTAGGCTGTGCTCCGGTTTCTTTTGGCAGCAACTGCCCAAATACCAGCCCTCATTCGGCGTTGTAACTCTGGGGCGACCTGTGCTGTAACGTCTACTCATTACCATCATCTTGGAATCGTTGCTAAAGTCGGAGATGACACTGTGGGCAAATCCAAGTTCGTCTGATACTTTAGTTGGTACGCCCACATTCCAGACGGCCGAATTTTACCACGTAAAAATCATCTAAATCTCCTTTGGTCATAACTATTCGGTATTGCACTTAAATTCTTATAAAGCGCCTGCGAACAATTTTTCTTCTTTGCCTGTATTCCTTATATATCACTCTCTTACACTCTCGTCATTGTGACGTACCATCGGTGTCATTTGGTTACTTCCTGAAATTTGCATATGATTTTAGAAGATGTGTTTAGTTATTTTACAGGTGATATATTTATTTTAAAGTTCGATTTCGCGTGACTCCGAATTATCCTTAATATATGTGCTTGAGTGTATATAGAGTATAAGAAAAACATTGAATTCCTCAAGCCGTAGGTGCATTCTAACTAATATTAACTAATATTACAGGGTGTTTATAAAGTCCGGGACTCATTTTGATGTTTAATAACTCATAAAATAATGAAGATATAAACAAACTTATGGCATTTATTGATGGAATAACTTATATATTTTCCTTTTCAGGTTTGAATATCTTTATTTTGTAAATATCGTCTGAGCGTGTGGTTAATTTCTGATAATTCATTTTCTGTCTAAATATCTGTACTTTCTAAATATCGTTGCTATTAATTGCATTTTTCTCTTTTGTTTTTTGCAAACTATTGCATGTTATGTACTTTTGATGTGTTTGTTCTAGTACTTTTGTATGTGATGTTTTATTCGACCGGATATTAAGGAGAATGCATACACCACAAGAGAAAGCACAGATTTTATGGTGGTTTCATAGAAATGAATTCCGTAATGCAACTACAGAGAAACTGCAGATCCCAGAAAAGAAACGTTACGGACGTCCCTGCACCAGTGATTTTGATGTCGAGCGTGTCAGAGAGACATTTTTTCACAATCCTAGAAGATTTGTGAGATCAGCGGCAAGAGAATTGGATATGCCAATTTCGACGGTGTACAAGGTTATTAAGAAAAAATTAAGACTGCATGCATACGAAGTTCAAATTGAAGTTTTGGAACCGGACGAGAGGCCTAGGAGGATGGCCTTTGCAACAGATATGCTAAGGAGGATTGAAGATTATGCTGAATTTCTGAAACGCATAATGTTCCCCGACGAAGCATCCTTTCATCTTTCTGGCATTATTAATCGCCATAATGTGCGCATATCGGGATCTGAAAACTCCCATGAATACCGTGAGGCATAAAGGGATTCCCCAAAGTTTAATGTGTGGTGTGGACTATGCACGACCGAGTCAATGGGCCTTTCTTTTTTACAGAAAAGAAGGTCTTATCAGTCGTATACTTAGACATGTTGGAAACCTTCGTATTTCCACAACTAGAAGATCTTCAACTACATGTATTTTTGCAACAAGATGGTGCATGACTTTTATTGGGGTGCCATCGTTCGTAGTTCTTTGAATGACTATTTTACAGGAAGATGGATTGGCCGAGGAGGTCCAATTCCTTGGCCACCCAGATCACCTGATATAACGCCGCTGGACTTTTTCCTTTGGGGATTTGTAGAGGACGATGTTTGTCGAACATTGATGACTTAAAAGCCAGAATTACAACCGCAATAGCTTCTGTGGATACCGACATGCTTGCCGGTACCTGGTGTGAAATTGAATATCGACGATATTCTCCGTGCACGAGGGGGCACACTGGAAGTTAATTGACAAGGGTCATCAAACTTTTGAGCCTATCTAAACCATTTTGTTTAATTTTAATCTATATTGTTATTTATGAGTTATAAACATCAAAATGGGTCCGGGACTTTATAAACACCCTGTATAAATGCGAATGTGAGTTTATTTGTGTGTTTGTTTGTTTGTTATGCTTTCACGCCTTAATTGCTTAACCGATAATCATAAATTTTTCAAGAAATATTTTTGATACATTAGAAAGGTTTATAGGCTTTAAAATGGTTTTAAAATGTAGCTAAAATCAGAGATATTAATTAAAAACTCGGAAAACTATACTTTTCGCCCTCGTTTTTCCGAGTGGCAACAGTCTCGCACGCTGGAGATGAAAATCTGCTTTATTTCAAAAGTTGTTGGCATTGTTCGCTTTCAAATCCTAGAGTTTGTTAATAAAAAATTTCTAAGTTTTACGGTGAAATAAAAATAGCGTTGCCAACCGTTAAATACATTATTCCCGATTCTAAAAATTCGTAGGAAGCCATTTCGAGTATTCCCATCTTCGTACGACTTTAATTAGCCGAAATATTAATTAAAAACTCTGAAAGCGCTAATTTTCGCACTCATTTTTCCAAGTGGCAACAGCCTAGCGCCTTGGAGATAAAAATGCTTTATTTCGAAATGTGCTGCTACTGCTTGCTTTCAAATCGTAGAGTTTGTTAAAAACAAATTTGTAAGTTTTACAAAATCCTAACAAGTATTATAAGTGCGAATATGAGTTTGTTTGTGTGTCGCGGAGTCTGTTTTTAACTTCAAAAATAAGTAATATTAACTAAAATTTTATCCTGATTATCCTGGTCAGCAATAAGAAAAAAAATCAAATTATTTTATTTTCTTTTCAATAGTATTTGAAACTTGTTTAAGGACATCAACGCGAGCAAAGCCGCGGTTAAAAGCTAGTAATCTATAACTTAAGAATATCAGTTTGCTTTAGTTCTAATTTCCCTTAATTTAAATCATAATGCATAACTACACTAAATTTTCCTATAGTAAGCTTTCATATTCTTAATTATGCGTAAGAATAACGGCTGAATTACTCATAAAATTACCAGAGAATAATTAATTTTATATTTTAAAGAATTTAGCTTTAGCATGGTGAGCTGTTAGATGGCTGTCACTTATAAATGTATGCGTCATATTTTAACGCCCCATTTTTCTTTGTATTTTACTAATCTATAAACATGTCCTAACTTTTATGAATAATGAGGCTGTTTAGAATTCCCAATAATTCTCGGTGGTAACTTCATAAATCACTGACACTATAGCGCAATAAAAATAGCGTAGCAAAGTAAATTTTGAGGTTTCGTTGTGCATCAGACTTTCACGATAATGTTTGAATTTGAAATAAACCACAAAATATTGAAATCTCATTTGTATTTTAAATTATTTCATTTCATAAGTATTTTAAGATTGGAACATATTAAATGCGATAAATATTAAGTTTTCCAAGAGGGAAATCGTTTTAAGCTCTGAGCTATAATTTTTCTATTCATTACTTTGTAGTTATATGATGCGTTCTCTTTGGGAAATAATTTTCATTTTTTATTATTTTATTCTTTTATTTTTCTTCTACATAAAATGACATGTTCGTCATGTTCATATTTTTTTTATTTGAACCTTCCTTCCCTGGGTTTTTAAATGATTAGATCTTCAAACATTTGTAAATGTTCATATATGTATTCATTACTATCATAAAGCTCTTCAGCGTCAAAATTGCTCCATTTAGACAATAATTATTTGACGAAAAGCCGGAGAACCGTAACTTAATATGTTTCCGACTTCATTAGTCGTTTGCGTTTTTAAATAAGTTTCGTTGCTGTAGAAATATTTATCCGCACGATTTCTTGTTAGATCGGAGTTGTTTAAATTCAGATGGCAAACCTTTCTTGCTCTCATCTTAATCTTACTTTTTTAAGATAATGCTCTTAAGTTGCACTTTGCTTCTTTTAAAGTATACGCAAAAAGCATAATAAATTTAGTCTTGATAGTAATCGAACCACACACTTTCCACATGCTTTCTGAATGGGCTTACAGTTCAAAATACAAAGCCACTCATGAGTGATGCGACAATTTAAATAACAAAACTGTTTCGCTCATATTTACAAGCCTCTACATATTATAATTCCACAATATGCGGATGTTCATCTAACAGAAAAAGAACAGTTAATATTCGAGATAATTTTCTAATTTAATCCGCCTAATTCAAAATACATTGAATGTACAACATGGAATGTACAACCAGTGTGCGATAAATTACTTTCTTTCCATGAACTAATTCTGAGAACAGACTGAAGAAGAACAACAGCAAGACTGCTAATCCTCGGATTTATAAGTATGTCGTGCAAACGAAATTTAATACATGCAACACAGGCCCACCAACGGTTGGTAAAGCAGATGAACACTGGTAGTTCGGTTCCTGACTTCGGTTCCGGCGAAAGAGCTGGCTGCATGGCCTTTCCGTGTTTTTCTCCGTGTGTAGCGTGGATACGAGCGAGTGTTCTTAAAACATCCTCCAGGGTGCATTTCTCCTTTGCTTGCTCCTCGCTTTGCGAAGCAGCGGATTCATCCACTTTGCGAGAAGTCCCGATTCTTAGGCTAGCCTCAGACCTAAAGAGTCGGACATTTCATCAGCTACTAAGAATATGGCAAGAATGTTGGGATCAAGCCTCCACAGGAAGACGTGTATTCAATCTCATTCCCAACATCAAGACAACAATCCAAACTAATAGCAATTACATGACGTATTTCCTCATTTGTCATGCGCCCTTCTTTTCATACCTCTGCCGCTTTGGCTTGAAAGAGACTGGTAACTCTGATTATGGGGAGGAGGGTCATTCAGACCATTTTATGTTCTCCTGCCCACACACAGCACTTAACAACCTCAAGCAACCAGGAGCCAGATTCTGGGTGAATTGGTTCCAGAATCTACAGAGTAACAAAGTTAGTAGTTAGGAGGCCTACTACGGTACCGAAGGGCCCAGGTTGGAATTCCGGAGAAAGCATGGATGTTTGTAAATGTATAGTGTCGGTGCAGCATGGCGGCATATACGGCGAGCCGAAAGTCCTCTCGTGTGGATTGGTGGGAGTCGAGAGGGATGGTAGACCCCCAGATCCCACCCCGGGGTGCTCTCCCTCAAAATTGGAGTGGAAAATAGTAGTCCTACCACTCTTCGGAGTAGGCTCTGGCAACGATCGTTCCATGAAATAAGTGCAAGACAAGAACAAACGAAGATTTGCATAATACACCCATGTCCATAAATTAAGGATAATTCGGAGTCACGCGGAAATCGAACTCTAAAACAAATATATAACCTGTAAAATCACTACACACATCCTCAAGAATCATATGCAAATTTCAGGAAGTAACCAGATGACACCGATGGTACGTCACAATGACAAGAGTGTAAGAGAGTGATATATAAGGAATACAGGCAAAGAAGTAAAATTGTTCGCAGGCGCTTTATAAGCATTTAAGTGCAATAACGAATAGTTATGACACAAAGGACGCATTTGGATGATTTTTAACGTGGTACAATTATCGCCCGTCTGGAATGTGGGCGTACCCAACTGGAAGTATCAGACGAACTTGGATTGCCCAGAGTGTCATCTCCAAGGTTTGGCAACGATTCCAAGATGATGGTAATGTGAGTAGACGTTACAGCACAGGTCGCCCCAGAGTTACAACACCGAATGAGGGCTGGTATTTGACAGTTGCTGCCAAAAGAAACAGGCGGTGCATAGCCTCAGACCTGTCTCGTTAGCTCTCTTCAGCCACTGGTACGACAATTTCAAGGCAGACCGTGTTCAGACGCTTAGGGCAGATTGGTCTATATGCTCGTAGACCTGTCAGGATGCGTTCCACTTACTGCAACTCACTGTTGCCTGCGGTTAGCCTGGAGTAGAGAGCATGCATTGTGGACACCGCAACAGTGGGCTTGTGTGATGTTTTCCGACGAGTCCAGGTTTAGCTTACAGTCTGATTCTCGCCGGACTTTCATATATAGAGAGCTCCAGGTATTCGTTACCACCAAGAAAACATCATTGAACGACACCGTTACGGTGGTGTAGGTGTGCTCGTTTGGGGTGGAATTATTCTGGGTTCCAGAACTGACCTTGCATGTTCAAATTGGAACCATGACAAGCCAAATCTATGGGGACGTCATTCTGGAACAACATGTACATTTGTTTCGGGGCGCCATGGGCACACAATTTGTTTTTTATGGATGACAACTCCCAGTTCTCACCGTGGCAAATATCGTAAGCGAATGCCTTCAATCGGAGGAATATCACCCGTATGGACTGGCTAGCATTATCACCGGACTTGAACGCAGTAGAGCACGTGTGGGACTTGCTTGGCCGACGAGTTGCAGCCCATCAACCTCCTCCTACATGTCTACTGGAACTTCGGAGAGCATTGCTTTTTGAGTGGTGTAATATCCCCCAAGATCAGATCGATAATTTGATACTCAGCATGTCTAGGCGTTGTACGGACTGTATTGTATCGTCTGGGAGACATACAATGTATTAACAAGCATACCAACCATGTAATATTGGTTTTTTGTAAATAGGTTTTTTTTTTTTTTTTGTAATTTGCTCCAGGGAGAAATAATCGCTAATTGTTTTAATAATGTCAAACATATAGCATCTTTTTTTGCTTTTTACCTTTTGTTTAATAAATAAGCTTTACAAATAAGTCAAATTTGTTTTGCTTCTAACTCTTCCTTTGCCTGATTTTGCATTATCCTTAATTTATGGACATGAGTGTAGTTACAGATAATCCAGTATACATAATCGTTTTCTGTAACTAAAATACTTTGAAATTAAGCAACTTATGTTTTTTCTATATTTACATTAAATTAGTCAAATTCTCTTGTTGTTTTATCATATTTTAATGTTATCGTTCCATTAATATTATCATAATAGCTGCGTACAATCAGCGTCATATTAAGTGGCTTCTTCCTATGAATTCCTATGAATTCCCTATTTTTAAAAATGATTCGTCCTCTTTTGACTAGACCTTTTACCCTTAGTAAAGATGCCGATAAAGCCTTGAGTTGAACTGAAACTACACATAAAACAATTGTTACATTGTAAGAACAATATTTAAACTAAGAATGACTGTTGCCATTCCATATAATATAATTTTAGTGCTGCCAACAATATTAAATATAGCACATTCACCTCTCCTAAAGATGATTAATGAATTACATTAGTCTTTCAGATAAAAAGGCTAACGTCTCTGCCTTTTCGGACGCAAGGATTCACTCTAATGCAAGTTATCATTTGAAGTATTTTCAAAATCCTCTTGTCTGCTAGGGCACGGTAAATCACTGCCTTGGGGATCCTCTTCTGTCGATTTATTTTAAATAGCACATTATTAGAACTTAAACTTTAAATGCATAATGTATGTATTTTGGTAACTATTATTAAGTTAATGTCTTGATTAGATTGCATGTTTGCTTGCTACATTACAGCTTGTACTGTATGTGTTGCTTTCTACAGCTTATATTGTCTGTATTCAAATATCTGTTTATGACTTTTAAATTTCCCTTCCATAGTTAATTAATTATTAGCTGTATCATGTTATATGTATCTTGAAAACAAATTAATCCCCCTCTAGATTTTGCCACTTCTTCATCACGCGTAATTTTTATCTGCTTTTGCTGTAATTTCTCGTATTTAATTTACTGTTTTCATGGAAGATATGGGACGTTTCAGTGACAGCGAATACGGATATTCACTTTAAGTGAATCCATTGTCCAGTCGCTCTTGCAAAGTAAATAATTTAGAATATCTGCATATAATAAAAGAAATTGTCTGTGTGTGTGACTGTGTGTGTGTCTTTCGTTCGCGCTGCGCGTAAGCTAATAGACCCACGGCTACGAAATTTGGTACATAGGTAAATCTAGACAAGAGCCAGTGCACCTAGAAGCGATTTTTTCGAAATTCGAATTCGAATTTTTTTTTTAATTTTATGTTTTGTGACGAAATCGCGTCATTTTGAGACATAATGGGCTATAGGAAAGCGAGATTTTACTCTACACACTCCATTTTCACATCGTCATGAAACGTAGGCACTTAGCTATTTTACCAACTTAAAATATATTTATATATTTCGTGTTTCAATACATCGATTAAATACGAATTTATTTAACAAAGTGAGCTTAACACCTTTTCAACGGGATTTTTTCTAAAAAAGTTTATTTTTAAAAATGTACAGTTTATTTTTCTTTCATTTTTGGACACGTTAAACTGTCATCCTTGCGACTGCTTTTACAAAAGGAATTTTGGAAAAATGATAATATTTTGTATTAAAAAAAAATTTTCTAGATGAAGCTTCCGAGTACACTTCTCACATCTCACATCTTTAAAAATGTGATTTTGGCAACAATTTTCCTTTCTTACTGTTGTTGATAGATTTTTGATTAAATCTCATCTTTTTGAATAGCTTCACTCTTTTAGAAATATGGGTTTGGACACAATTTTCATCGTATTTCTTATGTCGCTGTTTTTAAGAGATTAACATAATTCACTGTCATTTTTACTTCCTTGTACGAAGTAAAAAAAAAAAAAAAAGTATTGTAATCGCGAAAAGTTTCAGGCAGCATATTTCAACGCAAATATCCATTTTGACCGCTACCGAATGCAATTTAACGATGTTTTTGCGTGATATCTGTACGTAAGGACAGAATAAAAGACTCTTCTCCTCCAAAGATATTATAAAACTGCTTTAAAATGAATTCTGAAGAGAATTTTTCTTAGCGTCTGTACGAACGTATGTACGTACGTACGTACGTATCTTGCATAACTCAAAAACTAGTAACCTCAGAACGTTGAAAAATTTTGTATATAAGACTGGTATAACATGTAGATGTGGCACCTCGTAATTTTCGGTTGCCAATCGGCCGCACCAAAAGCATATAAATATATGTGTATATATATATCCAATCTGTTACTCGGCTTCATTGATCTCTGTTTCTTTATTCTTTATATGTTTGTAAATTGTATATTTTTTTTTCCTTTATAAATGATTGAATTATGTTGTTCTTATTCTTCCGGTTAAGTTTTTATGTTATGCCTTAATAGTAAATCTGTCATGCAATATTTGTAGAATTATCAACAATTTTAAAGTTGTTTAAGTGCCGCTAAGCCTAATAATTTTTTTTGATGGCGGCCATTGCTTGTTTACATTTGAAACTGCAGAGTAGTGGATTTGTTGCCAGTCTAGGGAAACGTAGCTTCGCAACAACAAAGATAACGCCTTCATTTATTATTGCGAATTAAATCATGCTTAATGCTTTCTGGAAATTTTTCGAGGAAATAAGTGTTTAAGAATTACTTCGTAATTTTTAATACAGATATTTTGAGTTTTATGTATTTTTGCCTTGTCGCGAAGTGAGAACTGAATTAATTGAATGAGTAATACTAAATCGTCTGTAAAAACTTTTTGTTTTTTGTTTTGTTTTTATATATCGTTCTAGCTTTGTTATAGTACTTTAATAGAACATGTGGCAACGATTAGATAATTCTTTAAATGATATAAATTTTGTGCATTCTGAGTTATAATATGAACGAAATATAATATTGTTAAGTAAACCAGAGTGTCGCTATAGTAAGCAAATAGAGTGAATTTTAAAGAATGCTTTTATTCTAATGTGGTTTATGCGCCGTCGGCGAAGTAGATTTAATTCAGTTCAATAAGTTTAAACGAAATGCAAGAAAAAATGCGAATTTAATACTTTAATACTCCGTACAAAGAAGTCATGTAGTGTACACATCCGATTTTTTTTATATATATAATACATTTTTATTGATTTTTTTTTTTTTTTTTTTTTTTTGATAAAATTGTTCTGCAGAGTAAAATTCTGCGCGGAATGTTTTGTTTTTTGAGTTTTTTTCATGCTATTTTTGCTTATTTCATTATTTGTAAGATATTGAAAAGTTTTGCATGATTTTTTTTCTTCAACGAAAAGTTGGTTAATTTTTATTAGGATTATTAATATTTGTATTAAGAGATATAGCTTATTTCATTGTAATTTATTTCTCTTAAAAATGTAAGATAAAATATCATTAATTATACTTTGCTTTTCAGAAATTTTTGTTTCTTGTATTCTTTTTTGTTATTTATTGTTCATTTCACTGTTTTTGAAATATTGAAAAGTTTTGAGTGATTTTTTTAGGAAACAAAGTTCTTAACCTCCTTTATACCATTTGAGTTCTTAAGATTTTGCAAAGGGAAGTTGTTAATTTATTTATTAGGATAATTAATATTTATATTAAGGGATACTGCTTAGTTAATTTTAATTTTTTATATATGTAATACATTTTATTGCTTTTTTTTAATAAAGTTGTTCTGCAGAGTGAAATTCTGCGCAAATTTTAAATTTAATATTTTTCTTGGGTACTGGAACCCAGATGAAGATCCACATTTGTTTAAATGCATAACTACACAGATGATTCATGGCCAATGTGGACTCATCAATCCTCATTCTCCATACATGACGAATGGAAAATTTACTAAAAGATACCCACGTAATTTTCTGAGAGAAACACAGACAAGACAAGATGGATACCCACTTTATCGTCGGAGACAGCCAGAAGACGGGGATTTACTGCAAACATCAATGTTCGAAGGAGTGAAGTGTTAGTAGACAATAGATGGATTGTTCCCTATTGTTCTGTTCTCTCAAAAATTTTCAATCCTCATATAAACGTTGGATACTGTAATTCAGTGAAGTCCATAAAGTATGTCTGTAAATATGTAAACAAATTATCTGACATGGCTGGTTTTGATGTAAGGACTTCTGGAAATGAAATAAAAGAAGTTCACCAATATGAAAGGGGAAGATATATCAGTAGCAATGAGGCTGTGTGGAGAATTCTGAACTTTTCGATTCACGAGCGTTATCCGACTGTTATTCATTTAAGTGTCCACCTTGAGAATGGACAACGAGTATATTTCACTTCTGCTAATGCAATTGAACGGGTTCAGGCTCCTCAAGAAACAACTTTGACCTCTTTCGTCCGCCTTTGTATTGAAGTTAAGTTTGCACATACATTACTGTATCATCAAGTGCCAAAGTACTATACATGGAACAATGCAAACAAGAAATGGAACAGGCGTAAAATTGGAAACAATGTACCTGATCATCCTGGAATCAAGTCGAGTGACGCTCTCGGTCAAGTGTATACCGTACATCCAAACAACTCGGAATGTTTTCACCTGAGATTGTTGTTGCACGAAGTTCAAGGCTTTTAGTCATTTCAAGAATTGCGAACAGTGGAAGGAAGAGTATGCAAAACTTATAAAGATGCTTTCCAAGTTAGAGGACTTTTGGAAACTGATGAACACTGGAATGCAACATTGGAAGAAGCTGCTGTGACTTGCTCCCCAAGAATGCTACGAAATCTGTTTGTTGTTATGTTACAAACATGTGTCATGTCAAATCCTCATCAGTTGTGGTCATATCATAAGAATAGCCTGTATGAAGACTTACTGCATCAATCAAGACTTTCGAGACTTCAATCAAGACTTTTTATTTAGCAGAATAATATGAATCTCGCTTATAATGAAGAAATTTACAATAGAGCTCTTATCATGATTGAGAACTTGCAGTCATTCGGGTTACCTGAACCAAAGCGAAATGTTGAATCGGCAATGCACAGTGAAATTTGTCATGAAATGAGTTACAATTTGCAAGAACTTACAAAAGGCTTAGAACATGAAAAGAAACTGGTTCCAGATCAAAAGAAAGCATTTGAAACAATTATGACCGCAGTTTCTAATCAATGTGGTGGTATTTTTTTTATTGATGCACCAGGTGGTACTGGGAAAAAGATTCCTCATTAATCTTATACTGGCAAAAATACGAGTTAAGAAACACATTGCACTGGCTTTTGCATCATCCGGAATTGCTGCAACATTGCTAATGGGAGGAAAAACAGCTCATTCAGCATTTAAATTGCCATTAAATCTGGAAAATACCGAAACACTAACATTTAATATTTCTAGAAGATCTTCCAAAGTAAAATTCTACAAGAGTGCAAGTTAATTGTGTGAGATGAATGTACAATGTCTTATAAAAGTGTGTTATAAAGTGTCTTATAAAAGCCCTTGAAGTTACTTTGCAAGACCTGAGGCATAACAACAGAAGAATGGGAGGCATTTACACTGGTACTTGCTGGAGATTTTCGACAGACACTACCCGTTGTTCCACGGGGAACATGAGTTGATCAAATGCATGCATGCTTAAAATCATCAGATATTTGGAATGAAATTCACAGACTGCATCTTAGAACTAATATGAGAGTTCAGATTAATGGAGATACTACGGCTCAAGAATTTGCTGACATTTTGCTTAAACTAGGAAATGGATTCTTCACCACAGATAAAAAAGATGGATGCATATCACTGGACTGTATTGGAAACATCGTGAAAAGCCACCAAGACCTTTTACTTGCAATATTTCCTAACTTAAGACAGCACTTCACCGATCACAGCTGGCTATGTGAAAGATCCATTCTTGCACCAAAAAATGAAACAGTTAAAGCCATTAATAAACAACGGTTAGGAAAGTTGCCAGGCAATGTTAAAGTCAGTTGATACTATGTGTTCTATAGATGAGGCTGTAAATTACCCATGTTATGTATGAGAATTTCAATTATTAATATGTGTTTCAAGTTATTATTATTCTAATAGGAATATGTTATGTCGAGAATTTTAATTATTAATATGTGTTTCACGTTATTATTATTCTAATATTTTTATTTGTATTCATGTGTATTTTAATCTGGAAAAAGTATTCTTAAGCTCTTAAGGTTTTATTTAACTTGTTGTTCTTGAGTAGGAATTGTAACAAAGGCGAGAGACGGTTGCGAGGACACACATCTGGTTTATGGCCTTTTCACTTACAATGTCGCCCTTTTAACTCTTTGCGTGGGAAACGGAAACCGCTTTGTTAAAGTTTGCAGTTTTCTTACTTCAAGACAGTGGGGTAGGTTGGTAATTGGATACTCGTAAAAGTTAGTTTCACTTGTTAGTTGGGGGGTCTATTTTTTTCTCACGTTATGTGTGCAGATGTTTTTCGGATTTCATTGTCAGATTTTCTGGTGTTTGATTCGTCATGGGTGTGTCATTTTCTCAATTTAGATAACATAAAATTCCGGGATTGGTAAGATATAATTTTATGATTTTTTTGAAAGCCTATGAACTCACAGAGGCGGAGAAACCGAGTTTTCCTGGGTGCTTGCACCAGGCTAGAGTTCATTCTGATTCTGTTTCCTGATTCTTTCAAGCTAAGAGTAAGAAGAAAACGAGTGGCGGGGCTTGACCCCTTTGCGGGTCTTGCTCTCGTGAATGCCGTGTACCAGCGGGCGGCGGTCTTGAATTTCTGTCGGCTTTTCAGCTGATGAGAATTTTGCTCGAGTTGAGACTAAGTGCTTATGCAAAATATAGCTTTGCTGCTGCTTCGTTATATTTTCCCAAGAACTTTAATTTGACATTCTCGAGGTTACCTTAATACAGATTTTGTTGTAGCGTTAGCGTTCCTGATTTAAAAGCAGTTGGACTAGCTGTTGAACTATCTAAAACTCCGTATTAATCCGTCGATGATGGCATTCTCGATCTCTTCGAATGGTCAACGAAATGAGTAGGACGATCTGTTGAACTCTCTAAAACTCCGTATTAATCCGTCGATGATGGCATTCTCGATCTCTTCGAATGGTCAACGCAATGAGTAGGACGATCTGTTGAACTATCAGCACTCCATATTAATCAGTCGATGATGGCATAGGAGTTGAATGTATGAACTTCACCCTGTGAGTGAATTTTTTTTTTTCTGTCTTTTGTATTTAAATTGTAACCGAGTAATGATACTATATTAATATACGGTACAACCGCCTAAATTGTGAGTTATGTAATGTTAAAAAAAAATTAGTACACCTAACATGAGTATAAGATTTAAAATGATATATATGTTAATTTACCTCTTAAGGTTAATTTGTAGGGGACTGATCAGTTTACCTAGTTATCATATGTTTGAATATTCTAGAAATTAATAAATGTGTTTGATATGTATTTTATGTTTCATTTGTTTAATTTAGTGTAGTTTCTGTGGTCTGTCATGTCCCTCCATTTGTTTGAGCCGGGAGGCTTTTAAGAAACATGGAGTTATTGATTTTCCCTTTACATAGGTTACTCACAACGCAAACCTAAAAGTTAAATTGTACTACCACTATACGATTGATTGATAGATATGATATACGATTGATTGATAGATTTACTATACGAATGTTTATAAGAATGTCGATATGATATTTGATTATTATGAAATAGATTTTGAATGTTTTGAATTATTTGATATTTGATTTTTGATTTTTTTTTTTTTTTGTAATTTTGTCCGGCACTTTGCAGCAAAGTTTAAAGTTTAAAGGTATTTAAACATCAAATAAAAATTTTTCTTTATAACAATGGTGCCGTGACCAGGATAAATTGTAGGTGCTGTAAAAATTTCAGATATTTTTTCAGATATAACAATGATGCCGTGACCAGGATGACTGGCAGACCAACACATACAAATTTTCAGATATAACAATGGTGCCGTGACCTCGCGACTGGCAGACCACTAAGAATTTTTGTGTATATTATTTGAGTATTATTTTATATTTGATTTCTATTTTGTTTTTTATGTGTATGAATATTACATTTTTGATTATAAATGATGAAAAAAATTTTTTTGCGCTCACCTAGATGTTTGATCCATTTATCCTTTAGTTTAAAGTTTTTGGTGAGAATTGCATTTGTGTTAATGTGTTGATTTTGCTAATTGCATTTTTGAATAATTGCTTTGTAGATTTCTAATTTTAATTAATTGATTTAATGTCAGAGCAGTACTTTTGTGTTCAAGAAATAGTATTTTTTTTTTTAACTTCTTGAAGTGTGTTAATAGATTTTATGGAAATTTGTGCCTAATAGAATTGAGTTAAAATTTTGATTTTGAATTTATTTTTGGAAAAATCTGAAATGTTTGTTTCTTAAAGTAAAATTTGGTTAGATTTGTAAAGTTGCGCGGGACCAGTGATAGTTTATTTAGGGATTGATTGATTTTTTTTGGAAGTTAATTTTCAGCGGGAGTGAAGTTTTTTGTTTAGCTTTTCTGAGTTTGAGTTATTAATTTTCTACCTAGTTTGTGAATTCTGTGAACATTTATTGCTGTCTGAGAATGTGTGAAAACAGTAGAATACTGAGTTTTGCGTTTTACAGCAATTTTGAGTTGTGAATTTTGGAAAGGTAGAGTTGGTTTTGTTTGAAGTTTTGGAAATGTAGTGAAAAGATATTATTCTTACTCATATTTTTGGCTTTTCAAGTAGTTTTAAAGGTAGTTTCATAGTGAGGTTACTTGTGAGTGGTGTAACATTTGTTTTAACAGTGATTTTTTTTTTTTTTTTGGTTTGTCAATTTTTGAGTTTAATAGCTTTTTGTTTTAGTTTTCAATTAAATTTTTTTTTTTTTGGTTGAACTTGTTGCAGTGTTGTAGTAACTTTAAAAGTGGATGTGAAATGTGTTTTGGAAATTTTAAACTTTGATACTAGTGGAAGTGAAAATTTGTTTTGAGAAGTTAAACTTGATTTTGTGGTATTAGAAATTACTTATGTGAGTTTAGTGTTGTGGAGATTTTGAGAAGAATTTTGATTTGATTTTAAGATTTTTAAGAGAGATTAACTCCACTGAGTTTGTACTGAGTTTCTGTTTTCAAGTTGGTTGTCTTTCAAAAACTTTTTCTTTTCTGGTTTCTGGTTATACTGTGTGGTTACTGAAAAATTTGTGATTGCTCTTGAGGCTTAGTGTATTTCAAGGAGTTTTGTTTTGAAGTGGTTTAAGGAGAAGTATAGAATTGAGTTTTGTGGGATTATGGATTTTGAGATTTTGAGTTTGAGATTTTTTTTTTCTGTGTAAACACTTCCCTCTTGTCTGCTTTTGCATTTTTGTGCCTGCAGTTTTGTAGTTTTGATGTGAAGTGGTCATGCTTACGATTGCTACCTAGAGTGCAATGCATACTCTTCATCTTCTTTAATTACTCTCCAGGATCTAGACTTTGAGAACATTGGGGCAGCATTGTTTTCTTTAAAAATTGTGGCAAACCCTTTTGTTGGACACCTTCTTGTTTACGTGTAAATTCTGTGTGTAACCTGCTTCAGTTCTGTTTTGTTGGATTCATTTTGGCTATTTTCAGAATTTGATTTTTTTTTTTTTTTTTTTTT